TTTACAGCATTTCATTCCTTTCTTAGGCTGTAGCGATTCTATTGTGAGCTTAGCAGTGAGAGAAAAGCGCCTCGCAAGACTGCCGGATTTTTTGTCTCGAATGCATGTCTCATGGGCTTGTATACAAACGAATCTCCCCTTATCGTTGACAAACCTTCCTTGCCCAATCAAAGTCCTACTTTGCATTTGATCCCCGTTCGAGGCTTGTCAGAGCACGATAGCGAGGCTAAATCAGACAATGCCCAATACAACAAGGGAATCAATGCAATGCACCAACTTACCTTAGTAATTCGTAAACTGGCCTTCCCACGTATTCCAAGACGCTCTCCCGGAGTGATTCTGACGGAGTCTTTCCCGCGTGCTTCTCACGCCACTCTTTCAACAGGTCTGAGTTATTCTCCAACTTGGATAAAAATTCTGATTTTAAGATTCCTTGCATGTAAGTCTCGTTGAAAACGCCTGAAATACGCACAAATAACAACAATAGTTGGTCCAATAAAAATCAGCGTTGAAGGTTAACATCTGTGTAACACAAAAAGGTTATGGATTAAATCAGACGAATTTTTAGCGTCAGCGCGACGCGTGAAAAGACACTGGTACCTTCCCTTCAACCAGGTCTGCTCTCGCAAAGAAAATTCCCTTTCTTTTTTTTTCAAAACTTATACCCGTTTAGAGCAGATGGGCCCAATATTAAGTATTCTGCTAATGAAGGACATTAAGGTTTTTAGCGTCAGATTTAAAAAGCATTTACTCTTTGTTCTTTTTGTGTAAATATTTGTAATAAGCGCAGATCACACATTCCATATTCGATTACAGTTTAGCTGGTCGAAAATCTGCTTCATCGCGACATCTATACCTTTATTGTTGACTAAAGCTGGATTCTGTAACAATGATGTTTTAAAGAGGAAAGTGTGTGGTCTGACATCGAACACTGCGTCAAAAGCTTCCTTAGCAGTTTGTGTTTTTTTATTAGAAAAAGTTCTTTAATTTACACTTTTAGTTAAACTCTTAGGAAAACAAAGTTTAACAATCAAACAAGTGTATTGTGTAACGTTTTCAAAGGAAAACACCCTTTTTCTTAATTTATCATTTAAGATGACATAATAATCCTTGTAATGACCCGCTTTACGCTGAAAACTTAAGTTTTATGAATAAATCACCCCATAGGAAAAATAGAACTTTAAGAATCGGTTTTTGTTCCAAAGAATATTTTTGAAATAGGTCCTTTAGAAAAGGAAGCCCTTCATAAGACACTTTATGTTGGCTGACTTTTGACTGCTTAGGAAACTTAGATTCTCATTAGCAAAAACTAAACTGAAATACCCTTATCAGGTGCTATCAAATTGGAAAATAAGGACTTGTAAAGTAATTAAAGGAACATGTGTTATTAAATTTTGAAGTTATAAACCTACCGCTTGGTCCGCTAAACGAAATATTGAAGTAGTAAGTTTGCATAGCGTCGAGTCCTGCCTTACATTCCTCCAAGCTACGCACCATTCCAGCTTTCACTCCGTAGCGCAAGTTATCGATATAGATTTGAAATGTTTGGTTTACTTCGTACAACTTCTCGATTAGAATATTCAATCCTTGTACGTCCGAGGGTTTGAAAAAGGGAAGGGTCTTCTCTAACAAAACCCCCACCGAGCAAATTGGCTGCCAACAGAACACATTCGGTCCAAGAAGATAGTCTCCAAAGTAGTAGTTTCCATCGAAGGGCGCTCCAAAGATGTGCCTAAGAAAATGTCGAACTTGTGCCAGAGATTTTCTTTCTCTTGACTTAAGCTTGCCTTCGTTGATGGCCATACCATTTAGCTCTCGCATAAGAGCTTTCGCTGTATCTGTTACGTGAAGAAGATTTGAAGGCCTCGGATTATACGCCTTGTACTTAAGTTTGACCTCCGATGCAGTCACTTTAGGCTTAAGTGAAATTAAAAACGGTTGCACGTCAAAAGTTTTGTCTTGCACTTTTTGCAAAAAAGCTTCAAGTCCATATCGTTTGGCTTCTTCTGAATAATCGCATCTTTGTACACGCCTCTTGTGTAAAGCACTAGTTTCGTACTGTGCTTTACAATGAGAGCCATTTTTTTTGACGAGCAAGATTATCCCTGCGATAAGGAAAGCGATTCCGACCACAATAACGGCGGCTGCAAGGATCAACGTTTTACGCCTATCTTTCGCTGACACCAATCTCATACCTAATACCTTTTCGCAGAATCAAAACTTGCGGTATTATCTGTACTACAGGCCGCAGCGTAAAAGTGACCCTTTCGATCAAGGAACAGCAAGTTTTGTAACTAAATGATTTCCGCTAAAATATTCTCGGCCTTTCTCATATGATTTGTTTAGATCAGTAACTTTTATCCTCTGCTTGTTTAGCACGTTTGCTATTTAACCGCTGAACCAATCAAGGTGAATGGCGCACCTTACCAAACTGTCTTTGTGATTTTCGGTTCAATAAACCCTAATGTGCCGGCAATGAGCGCGCAAGATGATCGGGAAAACAATTATCTGGGACAAATGAAAACAGTCAGAACAAATAGAAAAACAAATGAAGATTTCGTGTAATTTCACTTGACCTTTTGAAGTAGTGGTTAGCTGAGATAATCCAAACGCAAACAGATATAATCTCAGGTCAGAGCCAGAATAAATATCAATTTAAAATGTAGAAGCAAGCCTTGTAGCCGACATAATGCCGCCACAGGATCCCCACTGTATTTACCTGCGCAAGACAACTTCTAATTTTATGGTATTCAAGCCTTGGCAAAAGAA